GTGCTGGGTTGCTGTTGCGTAATTGCGCAGATGCAGCTCGGAGTGAACACTCAGAGTTGTTGTTACGCTCAGTAATCCCCCTCCTCTTCTTATTTATTTATTTTATTTAAATCCAGAGCTGAAAGAGACCTTGCTGTGTTGTTATGGATTAAGGCAGAGGAGGATTTAGCCCTCAGCCCCGCTTATAGGGATCACAATTCCTAGTCAATAAGACAGGCAGCAAAGGATTAGCGGCCAAATAAACAGAGATGGTTATGTGTGGCTAAAGCAGGTTAGAAGTTCTTGAGGGTGATATGCAGGGACATGTCTTCACCTTGCCTCTTCAGTGCTCCTCAGTCTGTGTTCCTTTGGACCTCATCCCATCCTCTTGATGCTGATAATAACCGGCTCCTTTTATTCTCGCTGCGCATTGGGAATGTGGTTTAGAGACTAACCCAAGGGCACAGAGAGCAAAGCATCCTGTCCTGACTGCAGGCAGAGCTGGAAAGAGAGCAGGATGCAGGCCTCAGGAGCAGGGAATGGAGATCTCCCTTTAAAAAGCAGCACCTGGGAGACCTTTGCTAGCATTGCTCTGTCTCTCTTACTCAGTTAAGCAGCCTTCATGCTGGACTTCATTCTGAGGCTGACAGAGAAATATAGGTGCTATAAAGATGGTGCTTTGTGGAGTCAAGGTACAACCTGGTGTGATACTGGACATCTTCCTGTCTCGGTGTCTGCAGTGGTATTTGAGGCTTTGCCAGCTTCATGCATGAAAGTCTGTGCAGTCCAGAATGGTCTCACCTCATGCCAGCCCTGCTCCAGCTGGCACCGCTGATCCTCGTTATAGAGAACAACTAATCACATGTTCAAAGCCTAATGTAGGTAGAACTGATGAACACTTGGCATTGTCTGTCCTTGATGCTGCTCACCCACCTTTGGAAGCAAACACTGAGCCTTACTGATGCCAGCATTAAAAGGAACATAACCCAGAGGCTTGGTGCAAGATGTTTAGCCCCGGAGGTTTATTTTAATTCCTGGCAAGTTTTCTCCTATTTTATGCCTTCTTGACAGTAGGTTTTGCAGGCTTCCAGCATGGGGAGTGATAGGTTCCTACAGACTTTCAAAGTCACAGCAAGCATGATACCATCTCACTGTCAACCTGCATATTCTATTCCTCCTGAAATGCCCTGGCACAGATGGGAAGGGCTGGCAATTGCAGTGTGAGCTGTGAGATGGATAGGATGCTTCTTGAATCTGCAAAAATGTCATGAAATCTCCTTTCTGTGATGAAATGTTTGCTTTTTTTTTTTTTTTCTAGTGACCTCAAATAGCTCCAAGTTAAGAAGAGAATGCAGGGCCTCTGAAACTGAGGAAGATTACCTGAGGCACTAACCTGTTGCTCATGTCTTTCCTTTGTATTAAGTAGTTGCTACTTAAGCAGGAAAAGCAGCTTTCATTTTCTAGGCATTACTCAGAAGGCAGTGCTCTTGAGAAAAAAAAAAAAAAAAAAACATGTGAATCCTCCTTCTAATGTGCTTGGAGTCCTGAGGTTGTCTGCATTTGTTGGATGCACAAATAGGACATACGCTCCCTGATGTTCAAGATTTTAATTCCACTTATTTCCAGTGAGTATTTATATGTTGAACAAAGCCATAGATGATTCTGCAAGCCATTGAGAGTACCCCATTCCCCTAGTTTTAACCAGGAAATGTGATTAAATAACGATACAGGGTTAGCAAAGAGGAAAAATCAGCAAGGGAAAGGGAATTAGAAGGAAATCAGAGGAAGATAAAAGGTTTGATCTTTTCTTGAAGAGGACAATCTTAGATAACAAATCATTTGCCAACAAGTGAATAACTCTTCAGTTATTGATACATTCAAGTTAAGTCAACAAAGCAATTGCCGGACAACAATCCCACAGACATGGCAAAAAATTTCTCCTGCTGAACAGCTGGGGCTTTATTCCGCAGTTTCATTCGTCATTTCATACGATTCAAGGTTGAAAACTCGAACACACCCTGTAAATAAGGTGCTCGGGTTCCTTGGGTTGGCACGGGGCGTTGCGTGGGATCGGGCGCCCAGCCGGGCTGGGACGGCGCTGCCCGCCGCTGCCGCTCTCCGTGGTGCTGAATCTGCTCCTTCGCCCCTTCCATGCGCTGCGAGAAGCGGGCATAGATTGAAATAAATGCTTTCAAATGGATGTCGGGTGGGGGAAATATGGATGGTAGGGTGGTTGGATACCAGGTTAACGGACCCAGCCTGCCGGAGCTTGAGGAGAGTTTGGGCAACGAGCTCGGATTTATTGTTTGAATTTAGGGTTGTTGTGTGGAGACAGGAATTGGATTTGATCTTTGTGGGTCCCTTCGAAGTCGGGTTATTCTGTAAAAGACGCCCTCTCCTTCACAAGCGTATGCTAAGAAGTAGAAAAGGTTACTTGGAAAGGCTGGGCAATTTCTATCCTCATTGGATGGGTGTTTTCAAGATCTGTGTGGATAAAGCGCTGAGCAGCCTGGTCTGACCTTACAGCTGATGTTGCTTTCAACAGGCAGTTGAATTAGATGACCTGCTGTGGTCCTTTTCAAACTGGATTGTTTTGTGATACTTTGCCTTGAGGGTTTCCAGCAACAAAAAGCAAAACAGACCCCTTCCTCTTTGTGTCACTTTGAGCACTTTTTCTCATGTACATAGGCTGACTGCCATCCCTCATATAACTGTGAAGGAGCTTTTATTGGATATTTACATGGCCTGAGGGCAGGATGGGGGAAGGGAGAGAAAGAAATTACAGCACTGCCTTCTCACACAACAAACTGAAAAGGTGAAGACCATCCCTGACTCTTGACCCAATCCTGAAGCTTTACTTATAACCTGCTCAGTTAATGAGGAGCTGCCTGTGCTCTGGTGTATGAGTGGTGAAAATGTCACTGTTCCTCAAGCAATTTAGATGATTAGTACTGGGAGTCAGCCTGCATCTTGTTCTGCGAGTTCCACAGTAGGGTATAGTACCACCAGCTGCCTTGCATTTAATTACACAGCCCTGTTTGTGATAGCTGGAAGAGTTACTAATATGCCTAACAGCACAGCATGGCTCAGCAGTTGATAAAGACACATCTGTATGCTGAGCTGTACCCTTATTGAGTTAAGGGCATAGAAAAAGCTCTCTTTCTTGCTGTCACTTAAATGGTGTCAGGATTCGTGAAATCTTGCTTTCAGATTCCTAACAGACCCAGCAACAAAGACTGCTTGTTGCAAGCTCATTGGCTTCTGTTTGAATCCCTGTGACGTGTTCACAGATGTGTGCAGGCAAGTGGGAGAGAGAAGGGAGTGAGAGAAGTGAGTCTTTGTAGCCACGCGTGTGTGACAGCATGCATGGGACCCGTGGAGCTCCTCAGACGCTTTCATGACACATCAGCCATGCCCCAGACCATGCTTTGGCACAGTCATTTTGAGCAGCCTGTCTGCAGTTGAATTGCAAGCCTTGCAGAGTGCCTGGGAACTGAAGTCTTGGCTTATTTTTACTTCCCCCTTTGCAATTTCAGACCGGTGTGGCTAGGTAGGATTTGATGCCCTCAGGAGTGAAGCTGTTTGTATGAGCGTGCACTGAGAAAAATCTCTTGAAAGCTGTATCAAATCAATCTACTTAATAAATTGATAATCCTATTTCTTTCTTCCATTCCATCTCGTAAATTTGGATTTTAACATAAACTATCTAAGGCTGCGCTTTCTGTCAAAACAGAAGTCCCTCCCTTGTGCCCAGCAAAGCTGGATTAATCCATGCATGTATTAGTTGATACAAAATACTTGGGCTGTGCTTATTACAAGACAAACGTGTGTGCAGTATAAAGTGTCCTTCAAAGTATTGTGTTACATATCCCAGGCTGACATCTCTTATTGACGGATCTGGTACCCAGATGCCAAGGCCAACAGAGTTTTATTTTCCAGCCACATCAGCAGCTGGGTACATGGCTATGTATTTTGGTTGACCTCGTCTGAAATCTCCTGACCACACTGACAGCTGTGAGGCTAATCTGGCATGAGCTCAGTATAGCAGACTTCTCTCTAATGCTGCATCTAATGTTCTGCTGTTTCCTGGTCTGCCCCACTACTCTAACCTTTCTTAACAAATAGATCCACTTTTCTACAGTGTTTTGGTTTTCAGATGGAGGTGGGACTTGTTCCTACGAGTACCAGGAGATGAGATGGGGAGACTTTGCTTTCTAAATGTTCCTGGCAGGCTCTTTACCCAGGAGATCCTATGTTTGCTCAGCTGTAATGTTTCTTACTTCCCCTTAACTTATTCTGCAGGACAAACAAATGTGATTTATGCTCATGTCCTTAAGATGGCCCTCGTCTGTGACCCACACTAATACATTTAAAAGACAACTTAATCTCAATTAAGAGGGGAGTCAGGGACTTGGGTAAGAATAAATAATTCTCTGATTGCAGGAGGAGGTTAGCTGAACTCAACGGAGTGTCTGGAATCCTCAGTTCTAGGGAAGCATGGCACTTTCCTGGGACTGTGTACATGCAAATCTAATTCATTCTCAGCTCTCTCCTTGGCATCTAGTTATTCCTAACTAGAGAATTAATGTGCTCCTCTAGATGTCTCCCAAAAATCATGTGTATAATGGCAGTTATGTAATGCAGACTAACACAGTTCTCTTGTGGAAATTGGGTTCACCATAACTCATGAGGTAGAGTGGGGTGGGAGGAGCACAGATCTTGGTTGAAGGGACCAGTCAAAGCAGAAGAGCCTGAGAACGAAACTTAAATGTATTGCCTCTTAGGCTGAGCAAACATATAATTAACAATAAGATACCAGGGTGGTTTCACAAGGCAGCTAATTGCATTTTCAAATGTCAGCTTGTCGGTTCTTATTTAGTTTTCATTCAATCTGGCCTTTGTCAGAGCACTGTCTGGTTTTAAATGGCATTTCCTTCTCCTTGTGCTGCTGAAGAGTTGTTTTCCTTGTTCCCTGAAAGCTCTGGTAGGCCACCTCCATGCTGTTGGCTGTGCTTTGTGATGTAGGCTTCTGTTTGCTGATGTCAGGGAAGGAGCTGGCAATGTGTGGACAGGCAGGAGGGATTCCTCAGTGGGAAGAAGATCGTGTCACTTCTGCAACTTGTTGAATCTACTGCTGATGCATGGTTGAAAAGTCTCTGCTCCACTGCTAGTCCTCTGGGTATCAGCAGAGCTTTTCAAAACTCCATCTCTATAAGGTAAAAGGTGCCACTATTATCTTCGCTGTGCTCGTGGTTTCTGTTGGAGGAGATGCTGCAGCAGGTTGCTGTCATGGGATGGTATTTCACCTACACTGACCAGAGTTTGTGTATCATAGGCAGAGATTAGCATCATCCTGGTATTTGAGGAAGACAGCACATACATGGTGTCAGCTCCAGCCACCCGCCACGCAGTGAGCAGCAGCGTGTCACTTTCATTTAGCATAGCCTGGGATGGTGTCCTCACTGCTGACCAGCTCGTCGTGCCTGGCTCAGGCTGTGATAAGCAGGGAAATGGCACTAATGAACTTTTCAGTTTATAATCCCTGACATGCTTAGGCAGGAATGGTGTGACTTGACTTAAGGACTGCCTGTGGTGGCAGAGAGCATCATGGAGCTAATGCTATCCAGTTAGGGCTTGGATGCTGAGAAGTGCTTGGCACTGCTGTGTGTAGTCATGCTGCAGGTAAGCACTGCCCTCCCTGTGCTGCAGCTGGCAAAGATGCTCAATCAAAGGACCTCCTAGCAGAAAATAGAGCTAGGTAGATGCAGGTCTTTAAAATGACCAGTGTCACTGGGTGTTCATCCCCTTTCCCAGCCCCATGGTTGTCCTCAGAGTGGGGGGAGGTTTGGCTTTCATGGCTGTGTACAGCCACAGGGTGCTTGGGCAAGCAGCACTGGTGCTACTTGGAGATGTGAGGTCCCAGATTGCCCTCTGATCACCTGCCCTGCCAGCATGAGGCCATGTTTTCCCTCATGGCATGGTGAGGATGGGCTGGGTGCTAATTTTCAAGCAGTGTCCATATTGCAAGGGCTGGCCTGTGTTTCTCTTCACGTCAAGAAACTTTAAGGGCTTCTAAAAGGAAGCGGTGGGTTAGCACGGAGCACTTATTCTGTGGCTGCTGAATGCATGAAAATGCTGCCCTTGCCTGCCTCAAGTCAACAGATGTCAAAAAATTTGCAGCAGATCTTGGTTCTCAATCAGGAGGAGGTCTTGCAAAATGAAACAGAGCAGGAACGGGGTATGGTACGTGCATGACCACAAAGCTGCATGCCAGCAAGCAGAAAGCTGCAGCTCTGCAGTGGAAGTGCAGTCTCTGACTATTGTTCAGCAGAGTGGGGTCTGAGCTGTGCTGGCGACGCTCCCTGCTATTGATTCTGAGCAGATGTTGAGATGTGGGAAGGCAGATGGAGCCCCACGGCGCAATTACCTCCCACAATGGGGTGGGCAGCACTGAGCAGATGTCACGTAGGGACGTGGTGGTGGCTCAGCTCCGGCCATGGGCTGCTGGGAGCCTTTGCTTGTGAGGTTTGTCTTTGGTTTGAACACAGTTCTGGTCTCAGGTAAATGAATCTGACCCTAATTGTCCTGGTGCTGAGAGGCGCTGCGCAGCTCGGAGCAATGTGTGCCATCGTCTTTCTATTTCTGAATCGCAATCTGTGACAGATCCATAGACATCTTCAGCATTGGGCTCTAGAGGGCAAAAGAAAGGCTTTTGGAATTTGGCTGCCATCAGCATGTGCTCGTACCTAATTATAGCCCAGTGCTGGCAGCTGTGGCTCCATCCTTCTACTGCCAGGCCGAGCAGCACAGACCCAAGCTCACTTGCTATAAGGGCTGTGTTCTGCTGCTCAGTGTCCTCAGCACCCCATGCAGATGTGTGCTGGGGCTGAGGCTCCATTCTGTGTTTTCTAGGGTGCAAGAAACCCTCAAGTCCTGTTCTTGCAGCTGGGGATGCTGGAGTGAAGGGCTGCAGACTGAGCTGGTGTGCAGTGAGTTTCTAAGCTGGAAAATATAATTGAATTGAGCACGTAGCTGCCTCTGGGACACCAGGAGTAGAGCAGCAGTGGTTCAAGAGCAGGCTAGAGATGTATGAAGCTGTTAACTGGGACTTCTGGAGGGTTTTTAGAATGCAGCCTGAAGAGTTAATCAGGAAGATGAAAGACATCTTCCTCCTGGAGAGGAGCTGAAGGCAAATCGCCTCCTCTCCTGTCTCACTTGGGGGTAAGATGAGAGTCCTGGGGTCCTGCTCCTTTCTCATGCCTCACCTCTTTGAATAGTGGCAGTCTGAAAGAAGTCTCATAAGGAGGGAAAGCAGGAAAAGAATCCTGAGAAACAACCTCAGTACTGGAAAATAACCCCGTTTTTCTTCGTGGTTTCCTTCAGGGCAGAAGCAGAAGAGGTGTTTTGTTAGTTTATTCTGGTTAGAAACTTAGCTGGATTCTCACCAAGTCTATGCTGGGAGGGGAGCTGAGGATTTTCGCTGCCCTTGGCTGCTGTTTGTGAGCACCCACCCCATGAATGCAGAACCCATCTTCTTTCCAGCAGCTAATTACCCCTGAAATACAACTGCTTCTAAAGGCCTCTTTGGGATACTGGGGGGGAAGGAAGAACCAGCAGCAGTGATCTCTTCCTGCTCAGTACAAGCCTGTAAGCAATCAATGGGATTTCAAGGATCATGAAAAAAGAGCATGGCTCATCTTCCCTGGGGAGCCTCTGCTTGTCCTCATTATTCCCTACCTCCCAGCCCTGCAGCTACTGCTGTCCCCACCATCAAGCAATAGAGATATTGAGTTAATCCCTGGTGACTTCATTCATCTTTGAGCAGGGATTATTTCTGCTGGCAACGAGCCCTGACTCTGACCACCCGCTGCTGTGTCCCATGGCATGGCTGAGGCCAGCACCCTGTGCAGCCCACCCCTGCAATGTGCTTTCCTTCCAGTCCATCAGCAGCAGCCAATCTCTGCCATGATGGGAAATTAATACCCAAGATGCTGGCAGCATCCCGCTGCTGGATGGAGTAGGGATGCTTTGGTTCTCTGTGTTGAGCTCCCTGATTTGTCCTGTGGGAGCTGTGAAGCTCAGGATGGGGATGATCAGCAGAGTGTTGGTGTTTTGCTCTGGGGTCAGGGAAGCATCATTAGGGGATGCCACATGGATGCTGCAGCCTCACAGCCCTATGTTGTGTTTGGTTTCTTTGGGAACAGAATGGTTCAGCTGAGGATCTACATCAGGCATTTGTGTAGATTGAATTAATTCACTTTTTCATCTCAGTTCTTACTTACCTATTCAGGGTTTACTCCACGAGATCAAGTTTTAATTTCATCAGAGAGCAGGAAAGCATTGCCTGGATGATGAGGAAAGCAGAGGCAGAAGTAACAGGGCACATGGCTTACTGGGCATCGTAGTGATGAGCTGATGGTCTGTCCAACCTTTATGATTCTATGAATCAAAAGAGAAGAACGGGGCTCATGGTTTCAAGTCCAGAGTCCTGCTTTGCTGTCCCATTGCACTCATCCCTTATCCTTCTCATTTCCAGCCCCCCCCTTTCACTTTCTAGTGGTTGGAAATGTGGTTGGGATTGCTGGCTTGCCCCTGGGCCGTTGCCCAATCTGAATAATCTGGCTCAGCAAGGCTGCCCATGTAATTATCTCGGCAGCTATGCTGGGTTAATGAGAAACACAGCGGAGGAGTCGGGCTGGGATCTGTTCGTGGTGGTTATGATGCTCTTTCAATGGGGGAGAAAGGATTTGGGACGTTATTTAGACTGAGTTTCATTGGCTTGTTGTTAAATGAGCTGCCACAAATAACACACTGATCAGCTCACAGTTATTAGGGCTGTAAATGATACTGAAGGGTGAGTTTTGCAGCAGTGTTTGGGGGAACTGTGTGCTCTTGTTCATGGAGATAAGGACTTACTCATTGGCATTGCATCCAGTGAGCTTTAATAGCAAATTCTTGGGAGAGGGGAGCTGTGAAACAATGTTTGCCCTGAAATATTGGGTTCTTGCTACAGCTGAGCTGGGATTTGTCCTTAGAGGGCACCTTCAGGCTCCAGGAAGCAGAACTGAAGTGTTTCCTTATAAAGGTGCTGCTGAGCACTGCTGAAGCTCAGCCCCCAGCATAGGCACACTGCAGGACAGCCAGAGCCACAGCCAGCACTATTTATGCCCGTTTAATCAGAGCAATGGAAATGGCATTTAAATAAGATGGTAATGAAGTTGTGGATCAGATTGGTCGATTCCTCATTTGAAGATACAAAGGGAAGCTTTGTTTATTTCAGGGGTTTATCACTTCTGTTCTTGCCTGATTAGTCTTAATCTTCTGCTGCCCTTTGCTGGGAACCCCCCATCCCTATTCTCTGCAGAAGTCCATATGTAAGTTTGTGTATTACCCTCCAGGGAAATCAGGCCACCTATATATCATTTAGTGACTTCAAACAATTAACCTAACAAAGATTCCTCTCTCCCCGCCTCCTTCCCCCATCTGTTTCCTAATTACCAGTGGAACTGGGATGCATAGGCAGACTGTGCCCATTTCTTTAATTAAATCACCTCTCTGCAATGTTTTGTGCTCGCCTCTTTAAAAGCTGGGATTTGCTGTTGGGGGGAAAACAGTAAAACACAGAATGGACCATGAAGGCAAAGGAGCCTGAAAAGTATCTGAGGTGCAGATTTGGGGGCTGGAATGAAGAAGAATTTCAGTCTTTTTCTTGTCTTGGATCACAGTGGTGGATGTGAACTCTGACCTGAGAGCTCAAAGCGAGTTTTCAGTGCTTTCCTCCCACAGCTGGCAGAAGCGTGGGCCAGGGAAGCGTTTCTGGGAGGGGAGAGAGAGCTCCCGGCTCCCCATTCAGAAAGGAATAATGCACACGTCCCTGTGTGCTGGTACAGGCTGTCCTGCCCTCCCCTCCCTGGGTACCACTGCACCCAACCACCCCCATCCCAGGGGAAAGCATTTCTCCCTCAGCAGCTGGAGTCTGGCTGACTGAAAAGCACGGAGCTGCTGGAGGTGCCGTTAATTAATGCAGGGCAAGGCTGGTTCGGGCTGTATTGAAACCTGCTGGGAGGTAATTACCAGCTCGCTGGCTCCGAATGCCTTCGGTGCGCGGCGATGCTGTGCGATTTGAGCTTGCAGCTGATGCTGCGTGTGCTGCGGCTCAGGCTTGAGCATTGCAAGGACCAAAGAAACTGCCCAGCAGCTGTTCCAGCGATGCAGTAAGTGATTCAGCAGAAGGTGGGGAGCCAAGCAGCTCTGCTCTATTTGTGCTCCCATGCAGTGTTTGAGCAGTGCTCGGGTGTTATTGCACTGTTGACTTGTGGTGCATGGGATGGGTGCGTTGCAGCCTGGTGGGTGTGATGGGGTGGTTTGGGGTGGGACATTGAGCACACACAGGCTCGTGGATGGTGTGTGCTCAGGAGGGGTTTGAGGGAGCTCTGTTCTGCAACACGCTTTGTGCTTTCTTATACAGCAGAGGATTGAAAGCTCAGGGTGAGTTTTCATTGTTTTCTAGCCACAGCTGGTGGAAAGACAGAGAATCCTGTGCTGTGCATGGGAGTGTGTGCCCTCCTTCTTGGCTTCCCTTTTTTAGCCTTTGCACTTTTAGGCTTCATCTTGTTCTTTGCAATAATGCGTGTTCTCGGCAGCATCCTTGTTTTTGGGCAGGGCTGTGGTACCAGAACAAGGGGGTGTTCTCCTGAAATCCCTCTGGTGCTGTGAGACTGGGACCAGCAGAGCTGAATCCGAGCAACCTGAGCATCACTCAGATCAGTGCGTTGGGTGCTGAGGCTCCTTGGGACTCACCTCACCCTTCAGCATCCTCATTGCTTTGGTTTCCTCAGCTGCGAAATGAGATGCTGCTGCTTGCAAGGGACGGGGAATAGTACTGAAATAGTGGTGAAAATGCTTTGAAATCTCTGGATTGGAAGCTTCTGTCTGATACCCGGGGAGCTCTGCTCTCTGAGGATGTCACACAGCTCTCAGCAGGGTTGGAACAAAAGAAAACCGCATCTGGGAGCAGCAGCCGGTGGTGCTGACAGCCGGGATGTGGGGACAGGCCCTGGCTGGCACCGAGCCCCCTCCCTGCTGGCGTGGGGGGTGGTGGTGGCAGGGGACAGAGTGGGCAGTGTCCTGCACCGCAGCTCCTGCCTTATTCATGGGGGAAATCCAGCCGAGAGCAAAGAGGGGAGAGTTGGGGTTGTTAATAAATGCTATTGTGCCTCCTGCTGCAGAAATGGGGTGGGGAGCCCTGTGCCAGGCAGGACTGGGGAGGGGGGGGTGGGAGGAGGGACGACGGGGGAAAGATGCTCTGCGATGCCGGTGGAAGCGGGAGGCATTGAGCTAGGAAACTGATGGTGGGAGGTGAAGGAGCCTGAGAATTCGGGAGGGGCAAAGCAGGTCTGAATGGGAGAAGTGAAGGTAGGAAGCTCTCTGCCCTGGGAGCAGATTGATGGAGATGGGGTGGAGGTGATGTTTTGGAAAAGCTTCCGAGGAGGAGAAAAAAGGCTTTGCTGTAGGATGGGCTGGAAAGTCTGCCTGAGATCCCCCGGGGCGTCAGGAGAATCGCCTTGCGGCAGGGCAGGGCTGAGCTCTGTCCCCGTCGGTGCGGGGCTGTGCAGCACCTGACTTCCTCGCGCACCGCCTGCTCTTCCCACGGCCTGTTTTGTCGGCACTGGGATGCTGTAATGACGAGTTAATCTGTTTCTCGTATATATGATCACAGCGCTTTTTGACTTTCCCGATTTCCATCCCTTCCCAACTTACGCAGGGATGACGCGTGGCCCCAACCCCCCTCATTGCTGCTCTTAGGGCCGGATGGCAGCAGCCCCGTCCCTCTGCTGGTGGGAACACCAACCATCGCCAGAAGTACGTGCACCGTTGGGTTCGATTAGGATGCTCCTCTTTTAGCTTTAGTGCAAGATCTGAAAGCGTGACAAGAGATTTAGTGCAAGATGCTGAAGTGGGACTCTGGCTATTCGTGTTATTAAAAAGCCTCTTGCAGAAGGAGATGGTGGATCTGCAGTGCTCTGGGTGCAACCCTGCAGCAGCCGAGTGTGTCCTGCTCTTTCACACCGTGCTGTGCTTTTGTTTGGGTCTGGGCTGTGCCCGAGTGTGAGGGATTTTGTTCCATCGGTGCCTCCTCAAACCCAGGGTGCAGGCACTGAGCCCCGAGGTGATGGCAGGAGGCATTAAAACAATGGCAGGAGGGTATTAAAGCACCCTGCAGCCCCCGGGCCATGAGTCAGGATTGGAACTCCTTGGGGAGGTGATAAGTGTCCTCTTCCACTAACTGCACAGAGCGTTTTCATTACTATTTAATAGCAGGCTTTGTCTGCTTTGCTCAACCCCTCCTTGCTGGGGGCTGTTGGGCTCTGGAGACCCCCAGAAAACATTCAGAGGAATGCAGAAAGCTTGCTGGTGACCTGGAAATCTGCCTCCCTGCTTGCCTTCAGCTGGACCTGAGTGCTGTGGTGCACGAGGAGGATGCTGTGTTTTGCTTCTCCTTTCCTGGCTCATCAATGCACCCTTTCCTCTCAGTGCTGCTCCAATTGGTGACAGAGCCCTCAGGGTAGGATGATTAGGGTGTAATTGCAGCCAGGTTGCTCCGGAGATGCTGCGTCGAGTTGTATGCATCAGCCTCACCTGTCTGTTGCTGTAATTTGATCTGATTTAAAACGAAAGCCTCTCAAAAGGTTGGCTGGGAAACCTATCCTAATAGCTTCGATAACAACAGCAGTGTTCGCTGCCGGTTTGTTTTCAGTGTGCTCCATGAGACATCTGCTAGGGATTGTCTTCGTGGACCCACATCCACCTGCAGATCAAACCCCCTGCGTGCTGCTTGAGTCCTGACACCTCCCTCCCTCCTGCTCATGAAGCATCTCAAGTTGGGAACACAGGAACCAGAGTTTTGGGGTAAGCTCAGCTTTGCCACCTTTCGTGTTTCTCCTTCTTTGCCAAGCTGTGTGCTGCAACCTCAGCAGTGAAAGGCAGCTCAGAATTACACCCCAAGGCTCACACCGAGCCATCAGCAGCATGGGGTGGGAAGGACACAATGCACAGAGCCTTCCCATGGCCCTCCAGCACGTCATTAGCAAATGGGATGGGGACAGGCATGTGTAGGGGCTGATGTGAAGAGATGATTGCTCTGCTGGGACTCGAAGGATGGCAAATACATTTCCACGCCATCTCTCTCTGTAAGAGGAATTTGCATAAAAGTGTATAAGGAAATAATTAGCATAAAGTGGCTGTTGGTTGTGGGATGGGTTCCCAGGAGGGGATGGCTGCTGGATCTGCAGAGGGCAGAGGAAAGGGGAAAGTGACCTCCATAGGGCTGAGAACACTGGGAAGGCTGGCTGGGCTGTGGTAGGAATGGGAAGGAGAACCCTGGATTCCCAACCACCATATAAGCAGCAGAACTCAGTCCTTCCATTGGGACCAAGTGCTCTTTCCTTTTCTTTTTTTTGCTTCTGAGTGAATGGCCTTTTGCTAAGGGGAGCTGAGAGCAACGTCCTCTGCCTGGCTGCTCCAGACAATCCAATCTCATAATCTAAAAAGAAAACAAAACACACTAATGCCTCTATTCTATCAAACCCTATTTATACACTAAGAAAAAAAGGTGTATGTTGAGATGTGCTGTGTCTGAATTGGGAGGGAGGAGCCTGCAGGGCTGTTGTAGCTCTCACTAATTGCTCATGAATAATTTTTGAGGTGGGGACCATGTTTCCCTCCTTCCCACAGGCGTCTACATAAGTGTGGGTTGCCATGGGCACACGCTGGGATGCAAAGTGCTGCTCATGGAGAGATGGCAGCCTTGGTCCTGCTGCTCTGATCCCTGTGTGCTGTGAGTGCCTGTAGTGCTGCTCCTGCATGGAAATCCCTATTTATTAAAGACTCTGAGCTCACATCTCTCATCTGTCTCAAGGCGTGAAGCTTTTGCTAGTGCAAAGTTGTTAGCTGAGGTGGCTGCTTGGGGTTCACTGCTGCTGTATATAATGCTGTCCATCTGTTTGCTGAGATGCTCACAGCACAGCTCAATGAGGTGCTGAATCCACGATGTGTTTATGCCCCCAGTGAGTTTGCTCCTGGCTTTAAACTGACAGCAGTGGCAGCCTTTGCATCCGATCCCACGGCATCCTCCATAGCAGCCTTCCCAAATAAAGGATGCAAAGAATACAAAGGGTTACAGCTGCTGCAGGTTTGGGCTGGCTCCCTGAGCTCTGAGCGAAGGCTGGAAGGCAGACATTATGGGAATTGTATGCATGCCTGAGCGGGAGGGAGGCTCTGACTGCTTGGCATCCACTTGTCACATGGTGTGTGTTTGGATGCCAGATGACGGCTCCTGAGGTTGCTACCCAGAATAGATAGTTGCTTGTTCTTAAGCTAATTGCACCCTTTCAGCCATTCGCAAATAACAAAGTGCCAAACTTTCTCTGTTCTGAAAATTCCTGGAATATGCCTGACGCTTTCCATTATGCTTTGCAAAGAATGTTTTTTTTTAAAAAAAGCAATCCAGCAAAAATAAACAGCTGTTTGTAATTGTAAGATCATTAAAAAAAAAAAAAAGTGTTTTATGAGCAGCGGGGGGGAAAAAAAAAAACTCAGGCTGTGTTGAGCTGCATCCATGGGCTCTGCAATGACAGAGCAGGGCGATTTGTGGAGGTGCTGGGCCAAGTGAGTGCAGGTTGGGATCAGCCCAGAGAGCAGCTCTCCTCCTGGGACAGCCCTATTGCAAAAGCCCTGCTTGGAGATGGAACTCATTAAGCAGAGTCCCTTGGCACCTTCTACTGGGAATGGTTTTGCTTCACCGTTTTGAAGCATCGAGTACGGGCTTGTCTGCAAATGATTGTGAAAATCCTATCATCAAATTAAAAGCGTGGCTCTGGAAGCAGCAGTGTGGTTCAATGGGATGTGAGGTGCAGCTGGGGGATCTGGGATCAGCCTGAAGTGATCTGGTGGCTGCTCTCCCTTTGTTCGTGCTGGTTTTGAAGTAAAGCAGCTCATGCGATAACGGTGTTGCTTTGCAGTTTGGCTCATTAGGAGTGAAACCAGCAGCAAGACCAGGAGGCAAAACCCAGCGCTCTCATCCCTTCTTGTGGCTTGAGAACAATTGGAGCTGGCTTTTCCCCTCTGTTCTTTGAGGGGGTTTAATAAACGAGCTGTGAAAATATCTCTGGGGAGAGATGGTTTTTTAATGTGGTTATGTTTTATGCGTACGCTCGCGTTATCAAAATCTGTAACAGCATCTTGAAGGGGGAAATGCTGAGTGGGTTGGGCTGCTCTGCGCCGTTGACCCTCAGGGGGATGTGAGCACATAACTCCATGGCAGCAGGGAAGAAACCAGCATCAGCCTTCATGTCCTGCAGGTGGTTGGATTGGGGCAGACATCATAGAATACAATGAGGTTGGGGAAGACTTCTGAGGTCAACAATTCCAACCCCAACTCATCCCACTGTGCCCACTGACCACGTCACAGAATCACAGAAACACCAAGGTTGGAAAAGACCTACAAGGTCATCCAGTCCAATTATCCACCCATCACCAATAGTTCTCACTAAACCAAACACAAAATCCAAATGTTCCTTGAACACCTCAAGGGTTGGTGACTCCATCACCTCCCTGGGCAGCCCTCAATGCCACACCTCCAGGGATTTGCATCTCCATCATCCCTGGGCAGCCTGTGCCAGTGCATCACTGCTCTTACAGAGAAGGGATTTTCCCTAATATCCAATCTGAACCTCTAAAATCAAAAGCAAGTGCGTAGCTTTACTTTGGGTTCTGTTCCAGTCTCAAAGTCAGTGCACAAAACAAGCTTACGCAACTCCTTCTGTGCACAAATGGTCTCGCCTGGAAAGGCTCAGCTAAATTTGTGCCAGAGGAAAAGAGAAAGAAACTCTTTCCAAAACCATGATTTAAAACAAAACCAAAAAAAAAAAAAAACAACAACCAAAAACATTTACTATTTTCCATATCGCTTTAGCCAGCGTGGAACATGCTCTGCATTTCTAGATGGTGTTTTGTCCTGGGGGAAGTCAAACAAGGAGCCTGGGAACGGGTTGTGAAAAACACGGCCGGGTGCAAGCCGTGTCCAGGCCAGGGGAGCCAGAGCTGCCAACTGGATCACAGCCAGGATGGGGCCACCAGAATTGGGTTGGGGACACTGCACTGGGATGGGGACATAGGGACACGGCCATAGGGACACAGCGCTGGGATGGGGGTATGAGGATGGGGCTGTGGGGACACAGCTGCTACCTGTGCTGGTGATCTCCAGTGCTGCCCAACCTGGAGCTGCTGGAGAGGGTCCAGAGGAGGGCCACGAAGATGATCAGAGAGCTGGAGCACCTTCCCTATGAAAATAGGCTGAGGGAGCTGGGCTTGTTCAGCCTAGATAAAAGAAGGCTGTGGGGTGACCTCATTGCAGCATTTCAGTACCTAAAGGGAGCCTACAAACAGGAGGAGAGTCAACTCTTTGAAAGGGTGGATAACAGCAGGGCAAGGGAAATGGTTTGAAGTTGAGGGAGGGAAGATTTAGGTTGGACGTCAGGGGGAAATTCTTTCCTATGAGAGTGGTGAGGTGCTGGAACAGCTGCCCAGAGAGGCTGTGGATGCCCCATCCCTAGAAGTGTTCAAGGCCAGGTTGGATGGGGCCCTGGGCAGCCTGGGCTGGTATGAAATGAGGAGGTTGGTGGCCCTGCATGTGGCAGGGGGTTGGAAATTCATCATCCTTGAGGTCCCTTCCAACCCTGGCCATTCTGTGATTCTGGTGGCTTCTCCTCTCCTTGGGCAAAAAGGGCCATCAGGTGTTTGACTACAAAACCAAAGCTGTGCTTTTGTTCAAGCTTTGGCATGTAGACCTCAGGAATCTTGCTGATTTAGCCCCTGGTTCCCAATCTCACCTCTCTGCCTCTTGTTGCTTGTCAGCTGCAGCGCGTTAATGGCTTTTACGCCAATGTTTTGCACTTAATGCTTGCAGCAGTTCATCTCCATGGTGCAGAGCTTGGCTGGATGAATTCGAGATGAGACAGTTGAAGAGCTGAATATTTAAATTCCCCTTTGTTTTCTGCTTAAATACCACTATTTATCCAGTGAACTTTTCCCCCTGCTTACAGCTCGTGTCAGTGAGAGGAGATCAGAGCTTGCTGGGATCTGCAGGACACGTGTTTCCTATCTCCAGCCTGTGGGATGTCGGAAATGTTTTGCAACCCAGAGAAGGGAGATGAGGCTGCTTGACTTTTGCATCCCCTGTTGAAGCTGACCCACCATCTCAGCAGTGATCTTACACAGATCTCAACACAATAATCAGTCTGGCAGCTGTGGTTTATTTTTTCTTCTATATCCATCAATTATTGCTGACACTTATGTTGTCCCAGTGTCTTCCCAGGGCACAAACCAGTTGATTTTTCTTTCCATTTTCCAATGCTGTTGGTTGGGTATGGATATCACCTGCTATTGGTGACACTTAAAGACCAAGCACCAACCACATCCTTCTGTATGCATAACCTTTCAGTATTTTCTGGCACAGGAAACCAAGTAATCCGCATCCTGTACTCAGTCCTGAAGGTTAAAAGCAGCTTTTGTGCCAACTTCATTATGTAGAAGCCAAGTGCTTCTACCAATTAACTTGTTACAGTTTTGAAGGGGTCTCAAAAAAAAAGAAAAAAAAAAAAGGCAGATGGAGTGTCTGTGCTGGCAATATTCATGACTGCCGTGCCGAGGGTGAGAATTTCATAGGGAGCAATGCAAAAACGTGCTAGGAAATGTGCAAAGGCAGCACTGCTGAGGAATGCTGGGTGGTGTTTCCCTGCGAGCCCTGTGAGCAAAGGCTGTTTCTTGGGGGTAATAAATAAAGTGTGAATTTGATGCTGTAACGGGTGATGCCGTGCTGTCTGTCGTTGAAGGCTGTCAGAGCTTTGGGG